CTTCCAGGCCGGGGGGGGGGGGCACGGCAGACGCCGCCAGCCTGCCTTCCAAAGAGCATTTTGCTTCTCTCGTAACTGACCCCGCCATCCCAAGCCCTGTCATTAGAACCCCTTGGCTATCCCCTATTGTAGCTGACAAACCGCCTTCTCCCTCCAACCCGTCGGCGGGAAACGCCCCGCGTGCTTCGAACCTGCCCTTGTGCAGGGCGCCCAGCGAACCTACGGAACCACCGCCACTTTGCACGACGCCCTCCCCCACTTCCTTTACGGCCTTCTGGAAAGCTCACCCCCCTCGAGCGTGAGAGTGGGAAAGGCACTGTTCCCACCCTCACCCCATATCCCTCTCTCCTCTTGCCCGCCTACCGTAGAAGACGGTGGAATCCTGAGTAGGTGGAACGGCCCATATGACTACAGGCGGGGGGTGGGTGGGGAAGGGGATATTGCAAGAGACTAGCACACCCATGGAGAAGAGAGGGCTTGGCCCAGCCCGTTCCCTAGTTGCGGTGCTGCTTTTAATTCACAGTTTTTTTGACGTTCGCCCCATCGCTCACGCTCAGAAGCAGGAACAACCTATCTCGGTAGCCCAGAAGACCACCGGCTCATTCTTCCTTCACTCCGCTGTGTGCGCATGCAGGACACGTGTCGGGCAGGAGGGAAAAGAAAGCAGGCCCGTAGCCAGGATTTTTCAAGTTTTTTGGGGGGGGGCATTTAAATTTCTCAGGGCTTTGATCAAATTGAAGGGGTACCCGGCTCCTTCCCCGCACCTGCCAGCGCTCAGGGGTCCAGATCTAGATGGGGAGCTGTTGCGGCCCTGCCAGCAAGTGAAGGGGCCTAGCCCCAAGATGCCTCATGGTGGCTACAGGCCTGAAAGAGGGAGGGAGGAATCCGAGTGAAAGAGGGGAGCAAGTGGAAGCCGTGGCCCCTACAGGCAGGCAGCGAGAAGAAGCTGTTGCGTGTGGTCGGCTAACTGCAGGAGGGCTCCCCACCCGCTCTCAGCTGATTTCCGACCCTGCAGGTTTGCAAAAGGGCCAGGCAGTGTGCTATTCCTCGCTCACTGACTCTGCCCCCCCACCCCGACCTTCAGGCACGAAAAGCAGGGAAGGACCAGTGAAAGTTCGGCAGCCGAGTCCCCGGGGCTATAGGCGGCGGTTTTGGCAAAAGGGAGACCTGCCCAGAAGGTGCCCATCCCGGCATCGGCAGGCCTTGACGATGAGTGAAATGATTCAAGTGTGTCGTTTTTCCCTTTCTGGGTATTTCGGGACGTTCCCAGGACCCCCCCCCCCCGAGAGCCGACCTTTGGCCGATCGCTTCTCCCGGGGGGGGGGGGGGG